TTGTAAGGGTTATTTATACTCTCGTTCATATCAATGAAAAAATCAAGTATTCCACTTTATTTCACATTATTCTGAAATTTTAGCATGGTATCAGAGCATAATTTTGTAATCTAGCCACCGGTCCTCCTTTGAGAATTGTCGGACTCCCTTCCTGTCATCCTTTGTGCGGAAAGGGAGGGGCACTTATCTTGGTATTTAAAGCAACGACTTTTTCTTTACTACTCAGACCAACCAGGCCTTGTGCTCGTGAGCAGGGGCTCCAGTCAGGGTTGCACCAGTGATGTCGCCACTCGCCTCATCATCATCTCGCCGGAGATATCGTTGTCGTCGATCGGGCAATGCCGGCAATATCAATCTTTGACCCTCTCCTGCAGTTGTTTTTTTTCATGCCCAAGCGTCAGAGGGAGCTGTGTCTCCAGCCGCCCTCTCTCCTGCTACTTTCTCTATCAGCAAAATTTGTTGGGTGTGATTTACATGTTTTCTCTAATAACCAAGTTTGAGTCTACTTCTCTCTATGTCGAAACACATGATAGACAAAACTCAAAATTCAGTCAAGCCTGAATCTACTTCTCTCTATATTGAAGCACATGACAGACAAAACTCAAAATTCACCCAAACCTGAAATTTGAGTCTTCTTATAGGCACTGCAGAAACCATAGTCAAAAGACAATCATAGTTGTCTACTTCCTTGTAAACTCTTCTGCACCATTACATGTAGGAGCTTTCAATCTTCCTACAAACACTACAGAAATTGTAGTCAAAACAATTAAAGTTGTCTACTTTTCTTCAAATTCCCTGCAGAAGTACTAGTAGGAGGTTTACGTCTAACTACAGACACTGCAGGAACTACAAACACTACTGTCTACTTACCTGCAAACTCCCCTGTAGCGTTATCCATAGGAACCATCTGCCTCCATACCTACACTACTGTAACTGCCTATTGTTTGATGTTTTCAAATTCAAGTTGAACGTAGTTTTCAACCATGTTTCAACTTGAGGGGGACTGTTAGGAATTATAATAGGAAATAATTTCTTCTTGTAAGAAGTTATGAGGAATAAATTATTTCTTTATATTAAGGAGAATTTCTTTTCCTATTTAATATTTATTTCCTTGGATTAGGAATTATTTATTTTCCTATTTTATGTTATTTCATATATCTCCTAATAATTAATATGAATTGATTATTCAAAATATTAGGTGATATATATTTTTTTCATATCATTTCCTTTTTATTATTTTTCTTACTATAGGATTCTTGTAAGGGTAATTTATACCCTCGTTTATATCAATGAAATAATCAAGTATTTCACATTATCTGAAATTTCAACAGCTCTAGCAATAACCAACACACCGACGAATCCACGTAGCTGACAAAACCACAAGTCCCTGACATGTCCTTTGACAATCTTCTTTAATGGGGTTACTTCCAATCACTGGGCTAATTTTGTCGGAGCAATAGATAGAGTGGGAATCAGAGAGAATATTGAGACTGTGTTTCGTGGTTGGAGGGAGAGACGTGTTGCCGACAAAGGAAATAAATGAGAAGTGGGAGTGTTCTTAGGAGAGTTAGAGCATGGATGTGATTGTCCCAGTGGTCAGTGGATGTGGGTGCAATGGGAGTGGCTTGGGTGAGAGGGTCAGATGGACAGGCGGTAGTGTCATGAGGTGAGGAGAGGCATAGGGTGTTCTGAAAAATGATCACAATAAAGCGAAAACCAATCAAGAAAAATCGCAAACCAGAAAGGAACAACAGAAACGTAGATTTACGTGGTTCGGTAAATTGCCTATGTCCACTGAGTTGCAGAGGATTTTATTAGCCTGAAGAATTACACTATTCGATCACCTCGACAAATACAAGAAAGATTCTCTCTCATCTCTCTCTCTTTCTCCTCTCTCCTCTCTCCTCTCTCTACCCGAGAGGCAACCAAGTAAGAAGAAAAACAGAGCAGCAACCTTTTGCAATACTTTCCTATGCTTCTAGTTATTAATTTATAAAGGAGGCCCAAAATCCATTAACGTCAAAATTGATTTTCCTCTTTATTGTCCACAGAAGCAAATTTGGAATCATTACTTCACACCCGTAGCTTTACCAAAAAAGCCCATCAAGAAATTAAGAAGCCACCAAAGATTCCTCTTCTGTACATCTTAATTCGCAAATAAAAGAGGTGGGAGTGCTCTTATGGAAAGAACAGTTGGCGGGATTCACTTTTGGAGAGGAATCCAGGCGATGCTTCACAAAAGGAATCAAATTAATTAGCAAATAATTTTTTATTGCCTGCCATAAAGAAAAATTGTCATTGCAGGAGGTTGATCGGGCTCCACCTACTCAATAAATCTCTCACTTGGAGATTGGGACATCGACTGCATCATCCACTGACTGCGTTGTCTTTTTTTCTCAACTGTGATATCTTCCACCTTCCTCTACTTCCCTCCACCTCTGCAACTTAAAGCTTCGGTATTCATGCGAGAAGATCAATTGAAAACGCACACAACTTCAGTTTCTTAAGAGTAACACCCTTAGTTGACATATCAACGTCAACGTAGCTTTGTACCTCCAAGCTCTTTCGTGGGTTACTCATGAATCTGCTTGCAACTTCCACTACATGGGCAATATCTTGCCTTAGCTGAAGATTTTTTTCAACAAGTCCAGCATTGTACCTTTTACTGCCACCAAACACAGTCTTCACCCGGTACACTCACTTGTTTTCCACTACCTTCTTCCCTGGTGGAAGTTCTGTCAATTCCCAAGTCTGATTCCCTGACGGGGAATCCGTCTCATCCTTCTTGGTCAGCTCCCACTTGCTCGAATTCTCATATTGCAAGATTTTCATATAGCTCTATAGTTCTGCACTATCGGTCCGTACAAGATCCGGTTTTTCTGCCTTTGGCGCTCTGCCATCTTTCAGAAAACTGACTTTCTTCTAATTCCCCATAATGCACCTCTGACTCATGTGTCCACACCTAAGTAAATCTATGGTCATATATAGTGTGTCACTTTTCTTACCCCGAGCCAATAATAATGCTCCTTTATTAACCTTACAGGTATTATCTGAGAATACTACTGAATGACTACCATCATTAAGCTGCCCAATAGAAATGAAATTTTTCTTCAACTCAGGATCGTGTCTGACTTTTTTCAAAGTCTATTTGCTCTTGTTAGGGAGTGCAATATCAACGTCTCTCATCACCACCACATCTAGAGTTTTTTCATCAGTCAGATGTACCTTTCCAAAGTCGCCACCAACATAATTTCACATAAACTCCCGGTGGGAAGATGTATGGAAGGAATCCCCTAAATCTAATATACAGTCATCAACAGAACTATGAACTAACAACAAAAGTGCATCATGTAATTCTTCAAATACCACATTTACGCTATCATTCTTCATATTCTTGGGATTTATGCAGTTTCTCTTTATGTGGCCAGCCTTGCCACAATATGTGGCCAGCCATGTGGCCAGCCTTGCCACAATTCCAGCAGGTTGCGTGCTGACCAGACTTTGATTTTGATCTCTCTCTATTTGAGTTTTTATAATAAAATCTCTCTCTAAAATCAACATTCAGTGCCAAACTCGAACTTGAGATCTGGTCAGAATCTTTCCTGCGCACTTCCTCAACCAAAATCAAAACACGAATATCATCACATTTTAATTTAGATTTAACTGCATAACTACCAATTGTCGTACTCATGGTTTCCCAGCTATTTAACAATGAAGCTACCAATATCAGCGATCATATCTCATCATCAAATTCAATTTCAACAGACAACAATGATTTATGATAATATTGAAATCATTCAAGTGTAGAGCAAACGACACGCATTCCGTCATCTTCAAGTTGAATAATTTTTTCATCAGGTACACTTTGTTATTTGTCGATGACTTTTTATACATACCTTATAAAGCCGTCATGAGATCTACAGTAGTCATCTCCTTGATGGCGTTGTGGGCAACGAATCTCGAAAGGTTAATTGAACAACCCCCATAACCTATCGATCCAACATATTCCATTCAGCCTCATCCATCTTCTCCGGTCGTTTTCCCAATAACGGAAGATGAAGTTTCTTTCCACAAGTTTCTTCTCATAGATGTAGTCCTCTATCTGCATCATTCAGTAATCAAAATCTAATCAAAATCTGTGTCATTAAACTTCTTGATCTCCGATGCCATCACTTCGTCTCTGCTCATCGTTTCTTTCAGCCTCAAACCAAAGCTCTGAACCAGTTGTTGTGAAAAAACAACGACAATAAAACGAAAAATCGAATCGAGAAAAATCGTAAAATGGAAAAGCACAGCGGAAACACACAGTGGTTTGGTAAATTGTCTACATTCACGGAGTTGTAAACAATTTTATTAGCCTGAGGAATTACACCTGTCGACCACCTCGACAAATACAATAAAGATTCTCTCTGCTCTCTTTACTCAAGAGGCACCCAAGGAAGAAGAAAAACAGAACAGTAGGAGAGACATAAGTGGCGTGAAATACATAAACAATAATATTTGTAATGAAATGTATGTAAAAACCACTAGATTAAATTACCTATAAAATCATCAATAATTTATTAAGTATTTAAACTTATATCATATTGGTTAAAAAAATAAAAAAATTATAAAGTTTGAAGTCATATTTACCCAAAAAAAAGTTAATTAAAAAAATGATGAAAAAAACATAAAAAAATTAAATGAAATAAGCTATAATTTTTGTAATAAAGATTTTATATAAAATAGGTGTAGAAAACAGATTAAATTACTAAAAAAGAAATCAAATTCAGATATAACGGTGACATTTATCAAGCACCAACAAATCATCGGGGTTGCAATAAATCTAGATCTGAACAATTCAATAATCTCACTCTTATTTTAAAAGATGTACGCTTGTCACCTCCATCACGTCTCATATAGCCCAGCCAAAAACGTCCAATGAAGCGCGATGAATATCATATATCCGTTAGAAAATTATAAATAAACAGTACTGCTCGCCTTCTGGGATTTGGGGAAACGCAGAACAGAGCAGAGAGAGAGAGACAACAGAACCCAGGGAGGAGAGAGAGAGAGATGGAATGGAGAACAGTGAAGAAAGAGCTTCTTGTTCTATGGCTTGTCTGTTGTGTTGCAGGGTTTGAAGCTAAGGATTCAGAGTTGTTGAAGAAGAATGAGAGAAGGGTTCCGGGTTCCTTAACAGAGATGATAGGTCCTGGTTTTCTCTACACCAGAGATCCAGGGCGATGCACCCCTCAGTAACCTTTTCCTAACCTCTCTTTCTCTTTTAATGTCGACTGAAAGTCTTTTGGGTTTTCTTTCGTTGTATTTTTCTTCCTTAAACTGCAAGTCTACAAGATTTTACATTCCTGTTTTTAGCTAAATGCCTTTTGCTCCTACTTGAGCGATAGATTTTGAGCCCTGCAGTTCGCTGAACAATGTGTAGATGCAGGAGTTTCAGGTGTAATATATATCTGTAAATGTCTACTTGCAATAAAATTTACTGAAAAAATTTGTAACTTCTGTAAGACTACTGGAGATGTGAGATTATTATTTTACAAATTATTGGAAAATTTAAGAGAACGAGTGACACTTAATTGATGATGAATTAGATCACAAAGCTTAATATATAGCAGTAAATAAGGAGATTATTTCACGGTGTTGAGGAGCATCCAACAACTATAAACAGATATAGAGAGAAAAATGGCAAAAAAAAAAAACCCAAACAAATAAGGAGAACAAAGGGGAGAGACAGAGAGGGGAGAAGGGGCTACCAATCTAGAGAGAACAAAGGAGTTTTTCTGGTGCCTTACGAGAAAAAAATTATTATGTGTGGAGTCTGAATGCATGTGAACTCCATGTAGAATAGTATTGTACACTATTGTGCACATATTATGCAGATGGATAATATTCTCTCATGTAGGGAGAGAGTTTTTAAATTCTTGAAAAAGAAAGATGCATGTTAATTTTTAGGAAGATTTACATCCATATCACTTAATTCCAATGTATTTCTATATATAACACCTAAAATTCAATTTTTACATACATGTCTTCTTACTTGTGGATGAAAATGTGTATTTCACCCTTTGGTGAAATTATTTTTTTATGTGGTATGAAAGCATAGATATGTAAATACATAGGAATTGGGTGGTTTGTACTACTCTTTTTCCCTTATCAAGTAGAAGCTTTTGTTTGGACTCCTGCAACACTGAATGGAAGTAGTGCAACTATCATAAAGCTAGAATTAACATAGTTATTTTTTAATTGCAGATGGATAATATTCTCTCATGTAGGGAGAGAGTTTTTAAATTATTTAAAAAGAAAGATGCATGTTAGTTTTCAGGAAGATTTACATCCATGTCACTTAATTCCTATGTAGTTATATATATAACACCTAAAATTCAATTTTTACATACATGCCATCTTACTTGTTAATGAATATGTGTATTTCACTCTTTGGTGATTTTTTTTTTTTTATGTGGTAAGAAATCATTGGGTGGTATAAATGCAAGAAAGTAAATTTTAGGTGTTAGATGTGTAAATACATAGAAATTGAGTGGTTTGTACTAGTCTTTTTTCCTTAACAAGTAGAAGCTTTTGTTTGGACTCTTACAACAATGAATGGAAGTAGAGCAACTATAATAAAGCTAGAATTAACATAGTTATTTTTTAATTGAAGAATATGTTTATAATAACGTGATAATGTATACAATAAAGAGAAAAATAAAAATAAATGAGAACATCCTCAATTTTAAGAATATATTATAATAATGAATATTATGTATTGATTATATAATCATGGGTGGAATCAAGTAGGGTCCTGGCTAGGCAATTGCCCCCCTCAAATTCAGTTTTTTTACTTGAATGGAAGACCAATTTGGCCTTTTGCCTCTCCTAAAATATTACTTTCACCTTCATTGTCATAGTAATTGCCACGATGGGTCTGGGGGGACAGTTTGCCCTCATAAAAAATGAGGCTGGCTCTGCCCCTGTTAAATAATATAAATACTAAATGCATGTAATAATATTGTTGTTGTAAGATATAAAACATTAATAAATCTAACCATAACAACAAAATCTTATTTTCCATATCTAATCTTTTTCTTTGTAGCAATTGTCAGAATTATCTCTTTTTGTTGGTCATTTAGGCACTGTGATATCTTATTATTTTTTCTAAATTTATATTAAGTGTAATCTTTCAATTTAATTTTTCATAGCTTAGTAGATTATTAGATTTTTATGTGATCAATAATGTGGGTGAATCTCACTGAACCATGTAAATTTTGTGCGTTTGCATATTTCTTATATTTAGCTCTCATCTTTGTGCCTTTAGCTCTCTTCTATTACCTAACACAAAGCACCTATCTCATGTAAATTTTTTTGGACAATTTTTATCGATGGTACCTTTGCTAGATACTGTTTTCATTCTCCCTAATCTCTCACTATCTACAAATTTTAGGGAAATTTACTTACATAGCACGCATATTTTATGGATTTACATATCTCACGGCTAAACTTTCATATTTACACGCATGGCTCTTACCTATGCATGAAAACATGGATTTGACTATTAAAATGTGGGTAATTAGTGTTATTTTTGATGTGAGACAAAAGTGTAAATATGGAGGTTTTGGTGTGAGATGCATAAATCCATAAAAAATAAGTGCTTATTGATGTAAATATGGAGGGTTTGGAGTGAGATGCATAAATCCATAAAAAATGAATGCCTATTTATGCAAAAGCCCCTTAATTTTATAAACTTATCTTAGTTGTGTATTATTTACCCTTTATTGTACATGTCTGCTTAAACTATCCTCTGGAATAAAATTTTATAAACTTATCTTATTTGCACAAAAGCGTTGAGTGCTATGTGTGTAAATATGGAGGTTTTGGTGTGAGATGCATAAATCCATAAAAAAATGAGTGTCTATTTATGTAAACGCCCCTTAATTTTATAAACTTATCTTATTTGTGTATTATTTACCCTTTATTGTACATGTCTGCTTACACTATCCTCTGGTATAATTTTGTCATACTTCTACTATAATATCTCATTTCTATCATTGCCTAATTATCTTTTTTTCTTATGAAATTTACATGCATTCCAAGCAATTCTTAGGGATTCACATGTCTATCAACTAAAGTTCGATATTTATTTTCATAACATCTCAACACTATAAACTTATGTATAAAAAAGCGCAATTAATTTTTAAAGAGTTCATAAGAATAATATTTTCGACGTTATGTTAAAGATCTGAGTGCAATAAACATAAATAAAGTTTAGCTGTTAGATATATAAATACGTAAGAGTTGTGTGATATGTATGTAAATGGCCCTTTATTTTTAATAGGGGTATTTGCATGTCTAACACCTAAAGTTTAACATTTACATAACATCTTGGGATAAAAGGGCACATTTGAATTTTAAAGAGTTAGTGAAAATGATATTTTTGATGTGTGATGTTAAGGATCGAGTGCAAGTAACATAAATATTAAAGTTTAGCCGTTAAATATTAAAGTTTAACCGTTAGATATGTAAATACATAAGAATTGCGTGATAATATGTACGTAAACACGCCTACATTTTTTATAAAATTACATTGGTTTAAATCCTCGCTAACACAACTCATTTCACTTGAGCAGATATTGGAGCAGCAGAAGAGAGGCATGGCCAAACTCTCTTCCTCAGGACTCATCAGTCTCAAAGGTGTTTGGGTCAATACTTTTGGAGAGGTATGAACCTGAACTCACATTGTTGGATGTGATTCAGAGGAATGATGATATTGGTGGCAGTATTTTTATCAAGTTAGTGAAGCAAGCAAGCACTGCACTTCTCAACTCTTACACAAGGCCTGACTACCCTTACAACCCTTGGGAAGTGAAGGCTCTTCTCGTAGAAGCCATTATCTCTGAGAAAGATGCAGCTTCACAAGCTGAAGCTTTCTCAAAGGCCAACCATGGCTGCTCTTAACTTTTTTCTCATGTAGTTTAACCTGTAAGTTATGTATTATGTAAGCTGTCTATTCTGGTCTGCTAGTCTTGGGGAGGGAGATTGGCCATGTCTACTTGTGAAATTAAGTTTTATTTAAGGAGAATGTTTTTGTTCATTTCATAGACCATTGTGTTTTTGCAATAGGATTGAGAATTTAAGTTCATGATCATCATAAGGAGGAGTTTATGATGAAGAAAGGAAAAGAATGTGGTGTTAAACCCTTTATCACTAAGAAGAACATCTTAATAAAGCATAAATTAATGAGACAACTATTAAGGGTGAAGTAGATGGTGTAAGTTTATGTCTTGAAATCAGGGGTTAAGTGAACCAAGGTAGCTTTATCTCGGCTCGTAATGGCCTCATAAGCCAGCCTTGGTGAGCCTGTAGGTTGAGTTAGAGTAGGGAGCCATGGTCAATCATAAACAAACTCGAGCTTGAGTTATAGTTTCTTTGTAATTCTATTTATTAAGCGAGCTCGTTCATATACCATCTTAATAAAATCCTCACAACTTATCTTTACATGCTAGTATTATGGAGCTTGACATGTTACTCGTCGAGTTGAAGTGCATTAATGAGCTCGTGATTAAGCTTCAAGAAAATTGGTCAAGTTAAGCTCGAGTCAAATGCGACATGAAATAGGCTTTTGTATTAGAATATTTATGAATCATGAGCAAATGCTTATATAAAGTTTTAGTGATGTGTCTATCATAGAGGTGTACGCAGGCTAAGTAGGCCTACGAGCCTCCTCAAACATGACTCATTAATAATAGCTTCAATCTGTTAAATTTGTTTAAACTAAAAACCTCTACAACGTTTTAAATGAGAAAGTTTAGCTTGGAATATTTCGTATCAAAATATATTTATAAAATAATTTAAAGTCGTTAAATTTGTGAATATTTTGAATGAATTTTTATTATAGCATATATTAAAGTCATCAAATTTATGAGAGGATTTGATTTAGGGCTGAGAATAATTCGAGCAGAGAGCCAAGTAGGTGGCTTGTTCGAGCTTGAGCTCGTTTAGTAAGAGCTTGTCCGAGCACTCAAGATTATATTTGAGCCCGAGCACGATTCGATTTTGGTTCGTGTAAAGATTATAGAGCTTATAAATGATTAGCTCTTTTAACGAAAGAAAAAAGTTGTAATTAAGCCTTAATCAAGTTATCTAAATGCAGTTTGTCAATGATAATAAATGAGACATATCATTGAGCCTAAAGAGCCTAAAGACAAATATCTAAATGATATTTGTCATGAACTAGTCATAATAGTTTGTTCAAGAGCTTTAAATGATATTGTTCATGAATATAAATAAGTCGAACAATAAAGTATTAAAGCTCATTCATTTATTAATCTTTCGATTACTTAAACTAAACGATCATCAACGAGCATTAATCAATCCGGCTCACGAGGAGCTTTAAGAATCTAGTTTATATTGTGCTATTCTAAGAAAAAAAAAATTCAGTTTTTAATTGCTTTTATTTAACCTATTTACATTTACATCCATATTCAAACTAGAAGATGCAAAGTCAATAAATAACATTTAAGACCTTATCTTTTTGCAATATTAAATTTTATTTTTCCTTTACATTTTTAACCTAACAACATCTAAAGTCACAACCTCATACCCATAAAGTTTCTAATTCGCATTGACATCAACTCTGTTTGCAAAGTCTTCTCTGCATACCAAGTCAAAAAGTGAATGGAGAAATTAGAAATCTCAGTCCACTTAAGTCAGCATTTTAATAATAATAAATTACCTGAATTTGACAAAAATCTTTCTACTAGATTTCACCTTATTTTAAATAATATTACATATTTAGTGGATGATATTTTAAAATTAAGCAGAATTTAATTTGCAATTCACCACACAATTTCTATGTGCTTACATGGTGGTGCAAATGAGACGAGTCGGCTTGGGAGCAAACTCGAGCTCTGCTCTTTAACGAGCTATCGCAGCAAGCTTATCGAGCCACGAGCTCAAGCTCGCGCTTGTCACAGCTCGACTCGTTGGCTTCCGAGATATGTAAATACGTAAGAATATTGCGTAAATTTAGTATTTCTTATGTGATTAAAATTGCATAATACGACACAGTTTTTATGTATTTACATATCTGAAATCTGAAAATTTTAATAATTACTTGGATATCACTTTACTTACAAAAATACATCCAAAGATATACATAAAAGAATGTATTTCACTTAAGAGAAAAATTAAAATTAGTATTATTTTTTCGGAGCATTTACACACATAGCACACCATTCTTATCTATTTACTTATCTTGCACCAAAACTTTCATATTTACAGACATATCGGTTAAATCTCTCATGCTAATCACATAAAAAAAAGCAACACTATTATCACTTTTTAAAGACGAAAATACATATTTTCATGCATAAATTAGGAGCAAATTGTTATCTATGTAAATATTAAAGTTCAACGGTGAGATACGTAAATACATAAGAATTGTGCCCCAAGTATGTAAATTTCCCTATGATCATATTTAGGGTCGTCCGCTTATTTGGCACGGTGACGTTTTGAAAACACATCTGGTCTGTTTGGGTAAACTGTGTTTTGACAGCTTATCCATTTTGAAAATGCTGAAAATAGCGTATTCACATCGCACCTAGATACATATCTAGGTGCGGTGGCATTTTTCTGGCATCGGTCTGATTTTTCCAAAAAATAAAAATTTGTAATAGTCACCGCACCTAACTTATCAGCATATTATTTTTAATCAGCTTATCAGCAAATTATTCAATTAGCTACAGCTGCCTCAAACAAACCCTTAGTCATTTTCAAGATAAATACTAAAGTTTAGGGTTTACTTTGTAAATACATAAAATGATGACTATTTTATGTTCAATGCATCAAAATCAACCAAATTAGTTAGTTCGGCCCCCAATAATCTTATCTATAAGCTATCTAATTAAACTTAGATTCAACCAACCTCATGATATCAAATATGAATATTTTTATGTATGCAGTCTTTGACCAATCACTTCATTTCTTCCTACCTAACCCACTAAAAATTCCCTTTTTTTATTATTATTAAAAAAAAGAAAATTGAAAAATATGTTGGGAGGTTTGGAATCATAATCTAACTTATAATAATTATATGAACTCTTAACAACTAACTCCTTAGTTTATGATTTGCAAACTTGTATTTCAAACCCCTTAGGTAACCATGAATTAATTTTTGTAATTTGTAATGTTTGGTCATAATAGAACATTAACAAACAATTAAATTTCAGTTTTTTCATAATAGAATCATTTCAAGCGGATTAAATTTCGGTTTGGTCGCTTCAGTTTTATCAAAATTTTGAGTGGCCCGATTTCTCAGAGATTGAATTTTGGTTGCAATCTATTTGACCATTTTGTAAACTGATTCATCCAAATCGATTGAATGCATACCATTACACGGAAGACCAAAAAAGGATAGAAGATAAAAAAAATCAGGTATTCTTATTTATGCCAATAGGTTCATCATCCTCTGTTGAATTTAAATTTGTCTTTTGGACCACACTCAAGAAATAAAGCCAGATTTTGAGGTTGAAGAAGGAGAGGGAGAGAAAGAGAAGATTGTCTCATCGGGGGCCAAATAGGGATGGTCCTCGGGCTAGACGACCCATTTTATTCCACACAAGTAGTGAGGGAGAAGGAGACCAAGCTCCATATATGAAAAAAATATCCGGTCTGATCTCTGGAAGCAAGTAGTATCCAGACAAGGGATGCGATACACTCAAATTTTTTTCTTCTTCAGGTGTATTGAGTCCGTTGTTCGGACGCTGCTTGCGTCCGTACTCCGAAAGCACTATTTTCTCCTCTATATGAGGTTGTTTTCGTTCATTTCTTTTTTTTTATTTTTAAAAGAGTCATCAGTTTGTCCATTGTTGTATAATTTCCCTTTTTGAATCAGTCCCTTCCATATCATGTGAATGATCATGAGAAGAAAGGAACTGAAAAAGTGGTATATACGACAGAAACGAACAAACAAGGCAAAAACGTGAAGAACTTACGTGTGTCAAACATCGCTATGATAAGTCAAGCATATACATTCGAACATGGTCAGATCGAGAATAGCTTGAGCCAAATATTCACAAAAAAATGCCTACAAAAACTACTAATAACCATAAATTTTGGTGTGTTTGTTTGCTTTGGGGTTGCGAGCGCTCATAAGAGGACGTATCCTACTTCGTTAATTATACCTTGGGGGTTGTCAAGAATATTCTTGATCCAAGTAGTTTTGCTTACATTTATAGTGACAACTAACACAAGACTATCAAAGGACTGTTATCTCACAGGAGCGTCCCGATTCCATCAAAGCTCAAGTCGATCTGTACAAGCAGAGAGTGAGCCTCTCATGATCCCATACAAAAGACGACTTATTGGCGACTGGGGCCTATAAAATAATTGGGTCAATTAGTACGAAACACATAACCGCTTCGAAGCCAGACTAGCCCGTAAAGGCAGAGGGTAAATTGTCGTATCCCAAACAGACAACGACCTATCAGCTAAGTGAGGCCCGCAAAGTGACATCGATGAAAGTCAAGGGAGCAACATGACTCAACAGGGTAGTCAAATGAATAAATGAGTAATCCCTAACTGTTAGAGGTAGTCAGGTCGGGGCACAACGAACCCATCATCCCATAAGCGTTTTCGACCCAGCGGTTGACAGAGTTTTGACGACTCCTCCGACTACGACGATGTCCTCACGAAGGCAGCTTTTAATTTTTTGTTTCGGCAAGGAAACCAATTTTTATGCTATACATCTTCATTAAGTTTATGTTTAAGCAAAAAAAAAAAAGAGGAAAATACTTTTCTAAAATAAATTTGGGATCTTAGTGGAGTTAGTTTTTTCCTGGTCATTGGAGTTTGAAGCACATGCTAATTTGCATTTAATTAATCAACTTTTATTTGTTCCCACGCATTATGCGTGTCTTACCAGTGTGAATGCATGCTATGAAGATTCTTCGCAAGTGAAAATAACTAACGCAACAAACAATATTAAACTAGCTCGTAGGAAGAGAAAATTGTGACATACGGTTTGATTGTATGTTTAAACAACGATCCAGATGTGATGATCATGCTGTCAAGGATCGCATGGCGGCTCATCCGAACAGTCGTCTGAATGTGTGATTGCCGCACGTAATAATTTCTCGATAGGAAGAAGTCGTTATGATTTTATTATTTTATAAATAAAATAGTCAATTGAAGCTCATATCATTTTTTTTTCAAAGGAAATGCTCCCTTAAGTTTTACTATATTTTTTTGAAAGCGATTTAGAAAGAAATTGGAAGAAAAAGGCGTACATTTTCATTACGGACACCTAACGTAGCTCTAGTGCGGTGCATGTTATTCCTGAGTTATTTTCAGGTTATTTCTGGGTTATTTTCAATAATCTTGAAATAACCCAAAAATAAAGACCGCGGGTTATTTCTGGGTCCGAAATAACCCAGAAATAACCTGAAAATAATTCAGGAATACCCTGCGCCACACGTAGATCTAGTCAGGAATCCGCACAGAAAATTTTTTGAAGAAAAAGACACTAGTTTTATATACCAGGAAAAGGAAGACTTGCATGCATACCGCTGGATTCCTATGCATTTACATATCTAACACCGAAACTTTATTTTTAAATATGTTAGCTTTTTTTTTTTAACTGGCGATATTCTAGATGTGAAGTGAAAATTTTGGGTGGTATAATTGTAAAAGAAATAAAAATTTAATTGCTATATATGTAAATTAATAAGAAATGAGGGGTTTGCATGTAAAAGCCCCATAAATTAAAAAATATTTCTTACAATGGTCGAAATTTATAAGGCTTATTATTATTTTCTTTATAAATTTTACATTATAATCAAAATTTATAAAAATATAACACAAATTTATGTATGTAATATCCAATCATGAAATTTAGGAAGGTAAATCATATGAGACCACATCAAATTGTAAATCATAGTTACGGTAAATTTTTTTTTATTGCATTTTATTTTGGGAAGATTTACATGCATACCACCCAATTCTTAAAGTTTTTACATATATAACGCCTGAACATCAAAATTTACATTAAAATATGAGCAAGCTTAAGAAATAAAAAAAAAATTTACTGCTAATAAAATAATTGAAAGAAAATAAAAGTAATATTATTATAACTAAATTAATTAGTAGCGAACTACCTTAAAATAAGATTAGTATTAACCTAAAAACATATTTATTTCAGTAATGAAAAAGAACTATAAAATTTGCGTAAATAATGCGAAAAAATAAAACGCAAATATCGTTGAGGATTAATTGTGTTTCACGTTAAACACAGTTAATCCCTGCGCTTAACGTGAAACGCGACTTGCCCTTGAGAATTTGCTCCTTCCCCTAATACTTTTCCCAGCTAGCCTCTAATCCTAATTAAAGTTATTAACGAGGCTTGATACATCATCAATAAATTTTCATCATCCGACACGAATCTTGAGGCATGATACGGATCTCGAGATAATATCTTGAACAATAAATATTCTAATCTTAATAAAAAGTCATCAAACTTGTAGTCAAAATTGACCGGCTCGATGAAACGGACTAAAGGATGTAAAAGTTAGTTCAATCAGAGTCAAATCAAGCCCGGATCAAGTGATTAAATCATTATTGAAAGATTTCTGGAGGCATTTGAAAAGACAAACGGATGTCAAACCTAGCGAGTTCATAGTCGAATCGAGCATCTCGACAAGACGAATCCAACAAGCACAAGATTGTTCAATTCCGACATCGTTAAGACACTCAAATGTCCTTCAAACATCATCTAATCGAGGGAAACTCTCCGGACCGTCCGATCAAAATGATTTATATTCTTGCATTAATTGCACCCAAAACACTATAAATAGAGCTTTATCCCTCTCATGAGGGGGAGGAACTCTAGAGAGAGAGTCTGAGATCTTGAGGAGAAACTGCAGCTCAGCATCACCAATGCTCAGACGACCACCGCCGATTACCATCAATCACCGCCGATTTCCGTCGACCACCGCCGACCGTCATCGACTGCCGCCGACCACCACTAACATCCGTCGACCACCACCGATCGTCAACGATCACCGCCGACCTCCGTCGACCCCCATCGACCACTGTCAATCATCGCTGATCGTCATCCATCGTCGATTACCGCCGATCACAGCTGACCTCCATCGACCACCGCCGATCGTCACCTATTGTCATCGACCATCGCTGACATTCATCGACCACCACCGATCGTCGGCGATCACCGCCGACAACTAATGACCATCGACCAGCGTCGATCATCGCCGACCGTCATTCACCGTCGATCATCGCCAACCACCGTTGACTGGATATCGTCAGGCGACGCTATAATCTAAAAATCTAGAAACATTTTCCCGTCTGTGGGACAAGGGGTCGCTGTAATCATCAACATATAGTGAATTTTTATAATTGTGCAAGACCCCGTGATTTTTTTCCTTTACGGGTTTTCCACGTAAAAAATTCTGACATCATCACTGGTTGTTTTACTTTCATCTGAGTGTGTGTTGAATCCCCGTGCAACGTTAAGATGATAATCTATTACTCTACCTCCTCGAATTTTCTACCAGGCATCAAGCTAATTTAAAAATTGGTCAATGCCAAAATAGTCCCTAAACTCCCGAAATTGAGACAAGAAATCATTAGAGCCCAATTCTAAAATAATTTATTTTTATATTTTTATAAACTTCCGGCCTAAAATAACTTTATATGAATAGTCAGGGTCTATTCTGACAATTTAGTAAAAAGGAAATGCTGAACGACTTAAAAAAGAAAACTGACATTTAAAAAAACGAAAAAAATGGAGAGAAAAAAAATAAAAAGCAAAACGCGGCAGATAAAGCTGCTTTTCTCAGTAATTCAATATCTTTTTTTTATTACGTCATCTTTCACTAACGGCTACTTTTTGAACTTTCCTTATATTCGAATCGAGTTGACGATTCTAAAGCAATAAATTAATTTTAGGGGCATTTACATATATAATACACAATTCTTATGTATTTTACATATCAAATTTTCATATTTACACACATCACACTCGAATCACCAATATCGCGTCGAAAATAGTATTATTATCATATTTTAAAAATAAAATCACTTCTCACACACTTGTGTATGTAAATATAAGAAATATATGATAAATATGTAAAATTTTCATTATTTAAATCTTTTGATAAATCAAAATTTTGATGAACAGAACTTACCCAACTTAGAGTCTGTTTGGGGCAGTTTGTGCGTTTCTGAATAAGCTGCTTATCCTGAAACGAGGCCTGTGGGCCGGCTGTGGGGGCAACCCGCGGTCTGCTTTTACTGTAAAAACTCAAACGCAATTTTGAATGAGTGACGAAACGCGCGAACCAAACCTTAATATGGGGTCTCCTTCAATTTTCAGCACAAACTTTATTTGGGGGAATTTACATACTTACCAAAAAATTTTGATGTATTTACATATCTAACATCTAAACTTTATATTTATAATTATAAAACTTTGGTGTGATAATATATTTCTTTTTTTTTTTTTGAGAAATTTGAGCGAAATTAATCATAAACAAATGCAGATCCACATTTGAGATCTTGACTGATAGATAATCTCTTGGTTGCAATGCTAAACTCTCACCCAAAAAATTGAAGCATAACTTCCATTACAAAATAAATCATAGTTATATTAAAAATTTGAGTGTTACACATGTAAATATTAAACTTTATGTGTTAGATATGTAAATACATAAGAAGTTAAGAAAAAAAAAGTATGTAGCACTGAAACAACCCTCTAAAAATTAAATTTTTCTCGTTACAAATCAACCACCGATTCTAAAAAAATATGTTTTTTTTCTTTTCCCCAAGCCAAGCCCTTCAAATCTGTGGAAATTCTTCAGCTTGCAGAAAGATCCTCAACCAAAAACTCAAATCATCATCCTCTTCTCTCACGCCAGCTGACAGCCAAAATTTGTCATAACTGAAATCAGAGGAATTAAATCCTTCCATCGCCATTGAATCCGACGAGTTACAGTAATACTCATCATTACTATCCATTTTCAGCACTTCAGTCCAGAAGCTCTCATCGATCCCTTGGGCTTCAGCTTCATGGCTGAAAGATTCCATGGAGTTCTGACTGTTGTCTACAGTACTGGAGGAAGAAGATGGTTCTGGAGTGCTGCTGTATGATTGTGTGGGCATCTCTTCCTTTGGTTCTATTTGAGTTTTTCTGATTCGTTCTTGTCCGGTCTCTTTATCGGTTCTCGTTAATCTTTTCTTCAGATGAGTGTGCCATACGTTTTTGATCTCATTATCTGTTCTACCAGGTAGCTTCGCTGCAATTGCAGACCATCTGCAAAGAGAGAATTTTCAGAAAAAATTAAAAATTTAAATTTAAATTTACATTGATACTCAAGTTTTTGAGATAATTTGAAAGTTTTTTAAATTGTAAATTGTAAATTGTAACGGTGTTAAAGCAATCAATTGGGACTGACATGTAATTTTTTGAAAGATAAATCGCTTAACATCTATGAAAATATTAGAGGTGGAGTTTTCAATTAGAATCAATAAATGGAGTAAAAAGAATCTTCATTTATTTAATATTTATTAGCTGAGATATGAAAAATGTAAATCAGCTTAAATAATTAAAGATCAAATATTTGAGTTAGATTATAATGAACAAAATTTTAGGAGTATAAACATTATAAAACCGATTATAAAAAATTTTGGTTCAGAAAGCATTCAAAAGTAGGACAGTGACAACACAAACGAAAGAAACACCATTTTAAGCAAATAATTATGCAGAGAGGGACCAGTGGCGAGATAAGCTTTTAAACTTTATTAAATGCGAACAGACAAATCACATATGAGCTATAATATACATACATAAATTTTTTCTCTAATAAAGTTTAGATTTTTATGTTCTGGGATATAATATTTACCTGTTTCCCAGCATTTGATGCAAGTTAATGATTGCATCCTCTTCTTCCCTGGTAAAGTTCCCTCTTTTAATATCAGGTCTGAGATAATTCGTCCACCGAAGTCTGCAACTCTTCCCACACCTCAACAATCCTAAACAAAACACACAAAAATCAGATTTTTTCTGATTTTCAAATCACCATTTTCTTCTTCCGAGCAGTATAAAGAGCAAGACGATGAAGAAGAAATAGTTACCAGCTAGCTTTGGGAGAGCTCTCCAGTTTCCATGGCCATGGTTTTGTATATAAGAGATCAGAATCTGGTCCTCCTCTGCAGTCCATGGCCCCTTCTTTAGCCCCATCTTCTCGCAGCATGGAGCTCTCACCATTTTTCTTAAAAACGTGTACAGTTGACAGAACAGAACTGTATCTATCTCACTTTCTGATCTATTTGCTTCTTCTTCTTCTTCTTCTTCTTCTTTACTCTGCAAATTAATGGTGCGAGGAGCAGGACAAGAAGCTATGAAAGCTCTTCAGTGGATTAAGAGTTATATATAATGGGGGATGGGGAAATGGTAAACGTGTAGATAATTTGTGGAAGGGGAGTATAGGCAAGTCTGGCAGTTTCCTCGAAGAAGTGGCCCACGAGGAAACCTGCAATGGAATTTTTAAGTATAATTTTATGGCAATATATTTCTTTTTTTTATTAAAAGTGATGATGATTCACGAGGCTGTTAAATTTGCCAATTTAGTTAAAGTCAAATCAAAATCGTATTTTCATTAATGGAGATTATAATTTTTTAATTCAATATTTAAAGTCAAAGTAAAGTTGTATTGTTATCATTGAAGGTTATATTATGTAATTCAGTTCAAGCATGTGGCCCTTCAACTTGTAGCATTTACTAAGTGAAAATAAAGATTAAAATTTTTATAAATCTTGAATCTTGATTTATCATGAATAAGTTTTAAAGGAATAGAATTTAAAAAATGAGAATGAGATAAAGAGAGATAGATATAGATACATGAGTGAACAAAAATGAACAATAAATTATATCAATTCTGTTGAACTTTCTTGATCTTTGTTGGCTAAAAATAGATTATCAAATATTTTTTTTACATGAGAAGATCTCTCTATTTATAGACAGAGTATAATATGATGATATTACATTTTTGTTTCTATTTTAATTGGACATGTACAGGGTATTCTAGTTATTTTACAAGTAAGCGTCTATTCGTTTTCTGGTTCGTTCAATTAAGTTTTTATGGCTTAGACTCAGCAGGGCCAGTTCGATTGATTGGGCTCAATAGGAGTTGTCGGTCGGTTGAGCTCATTGAATTTGTGTTGGTATGACTAATTTTGTTGGCTGAGTTAGTCTAATTATCGACTCTTAATGATAGATTGGGGAAGCTTTTGGACACCCCCAGTATTTGCCGAGATGCTAGATCTTACCTCAAGTCAACTTCTTTTTGTCTGTTGACTAAAATGTCTCTGTCTTGTTTTGAACGAATGACTTGGATTTGGGTCATTCGGTCATCTTTCGTAGCTTGGTTGATGTTATCCTTCGCTTGCTTAGGCTCCAATGACTACACTCGGTCGGATAAGTGAGCGCATCAGTCTTCTGCTGGTGAGTTCTCTTTGTCATACTCTCTTCTTCAAAACTGTCTCAAGTTTCTTCCTGATCAGCGTTGCCACATTTTTGATGTACAACCCAAATGTAGTCACACCATTGTGCATTCTCATTCGACCCATTTAAGCCATTGTCCAGGCATGCGAAGAAGACCTCATTGCATATCTCACACCACACATAAAAATACAAATGCTCCAAAGAATCCATCTTACTTTTAAAAACTAGTAATATTATTATGTTTTAATAGAGATTAAAAATTTGACTGCTAAATATGAAATTTTAGGTTAGAGATGTGTAAAAAAGTGAAAAATGTGCTATGGATGCAAATTAAGAACCTCATAGAGTTGTCAGCCAATAGGACCAAGTTGAAGCGCTCATGCTGCCCTTAAAATATAATAACATTTGATTAGCCTAAGTTCTAATGTTTTTTATTTAATCCACTTAGTTGAATTCAACAATATTTATAATATCTTATGTCACAATAAATAAATTACATTTATTTTGCCTTTTTAAAGCTTCAAATAATTAATAAAATTAAATATAATATAAAATAACCAAATCAACCCCATGAATCAACTTAGTTTCCACTTTTACCATAGCCAGTATTTCATATCCCTAATCGTCAAAGTAAGTTTGGTCAAATTGAACCCCCATTTCACATTAATAACCTATGAACATTTCAAAGAATGGATGCATATTTTTTTACATACATAGCACACAATTCTTATATTTTTACATTTATCACACCCAAACTTTCATATTTACAAATATAGCACCGAAACTTTTAATGTCACATTAAAAAATAGCACTATTATGATCACTTTTCAAAAAGAGAAATTTCTTTTATCGTGCATAATTTTAAAGCACAAAAATGTTACGTATGTAAATAAGGATTTTTAGGTTTGGGACATGTAACTACATAAGAATTTTTTACTATGTTTTTAAAACGTAATCCTGATTAGAAACATCATTTAAGTTTGAGATATATCAATCACTTATTCTAGGTTAAGGTGTTAGGTATGGCTCATATACCAGATAAAAAACATATGTTGGAGCGGAACGGAGCTCGCGAGTGAGCGAGCTCCTCCACTACGCCCACTCGCTCTGCTCCGATGATTCGCTCCGTTCAGCTCCAGCATCTGTCCAATTGGAGGAGCTTATTCGTTATGTGGGTTAGGGGTGCGGGGGCAACGCCCCGCGGTACGGTACAACGCCCCGAATATCGTTAAATCTCTGTGTTTTCTTCTTGATTTGTGTCGATTCTTGCATTTCTTTGCCCTAAAATTCTCAACATAAGGTAATAAAAAATTCATTCTAGCTAAATTTGATTTATGATATTTTGATTAAAGTTGTACAATTTAATAACATATTTACATGCATGCCACTCGTTTCTTATGCATTTACATAAATATCTAATAGTGTAGGTCGTCTTACTTCTATATGACAAGGAGTATTTGATTTTTTTTAAATATTAAAATAGTGGTATTTGATGTGATATAAAATATTTGTGGGGGTATAAAAATAAAAATAAAAAATAGAATTTAAAGGAAGATTTACATACGTGCCACTCAATTTATATAAATTTAGATATATAACACTTCAATTCTTATATATATGTATATAAATAGATAGATAGAGATATAGACATATACATATGTAGAGATATAGAGATATAGAGTGATATAGAGATATATAGATATATATATATAAAGAGATATAGAGATATATTCATATATACAAATTGATACGTCATCAACAAAATTTCATCCGACATGAATCTCAAGGCAAATTTTTTCATAACAAAATTTCAGACTTCAATTAAAACTCATCCAGAGCTCCGATTTCACTAAACTTATAGTTAAGCTGACCGCTTTATGAGACAGACCTAATGATATCAAATTCATTCCAATCCGAGTCAAATCAAGCCCAGATCAAGTCATTAAATCATTCTTGGAAGATTTTTTGACACCTTTGAAAGATCAAACGGATGCCGACACTAACAAGTCTATACTCGAACCGAGCGTCTCGATAAACGAATCAAACGAGTTCAATATCACTCAATTCTGCCATCATTAAGGCATCCAAATGTCAATTAAACACCTTATGATTGAAGGAAGCTATCCGGGCCGTTCGATCAAAATGATTCATATTTATGCATTAATGACACATATAACACTATAAATAGAGACCCACCCCTCACATAAGGGGAGGGACTGGAAGCTTCAGAGAGAACTAGAAGCTCTGAGAAGAAGCTGAAGTCCAGCACCATTCCGACTGTCGTCGACCACCGCCGGCCATCGTCGGCACCCGTCGATGCCATCAGCTAATGTCGACCGTCACCGTCGGTCACCACCAATCATCATTGATTACTACCAACCAGACGTTGTCAGTCATCGTCGTGAGACATGAGCTCATCACTACGGTTCATGTGTCAACAATGATCCATGTGGTTCACAGCTCGTGCAGCTTCTGACTCCGACCCCCGCGGCTTATGGACGTCATTCATACTCTTCCCTACGGCCCACGGGTTCATAGCTCATGAAGCTCACGACTCCGACCCCCATGACTTACGGTCGTCATTCATACTCGTCCCTATGACCTACGTGGTTCACAACATGCGCAACTCCCGAATCCAGCCTTCGCAGCCTACGAGCATCTTTAAATCTTGCCCCTACGGCCTACCTGGTTCACAACATGTGCAACTCTCGACTCCAGCCCTCACAGTCTACGGATGTCATTCATACTTGCCCCTACGACCTACCTGGTTCACAACACGTGCAGCTCCTGACTCCCACCTTAGAGGCCTATGGACGTCATTCATACTCGCCCTACGGCCTACCTGGTTCACAATACGTGCAACTTCCGACTCTGTCCCCCGCAGTCTACAGATGTCATTATACTTGCCCAAACGACCTACGTGGTGATCAGCACATGCATCTCCCGATTATGCTCTTTGCGGCTTACGGATATCATTCGTATTGGCCCCTGTGGTCTACGTGGTTTACAACTTGTGCAGTTTCCGACTCCAACCTCGGCATCCCACGAACGACATTCATAGTCGTCATTGCGGCCTATGTGGTCCACAGCTCCCGCAACTGCATATTACGATTTCTTTGGTCAATCAACGCTTCTGGAGCAACCATCTATAACATTCACGATAGATTACTATCTCCACAATAATCAACAATAACCCTTGTTATCTGCCGTCACCAAGAACTCTAGTCCGATTATAGTTATACAACTTTGTAGTTTCGTCTTCCCTAATTTAGGAGAAGAATGAACACGTGTACTCATCATTCATAGTGAATTATTTCAACTGGGCTAGACCCAGTGGTTTTTTCCCCTTCCAAGGGCTTTCCACGTATAAAGTCGAGGTGTTTCCTCCTGCTAACTTCTCTTATACTTTTTGTGTGTGTTGAATTCTCGTGCAACGCTAAGAATATAATTCATTACTCTACCGCTTCGAATTTTCTAGCACGCATCACAAATATAGAGATACACATATATACATATATAGAGATATATACATATATAAAAATATAGAGATATATATACACATATACATAGGTACATACATAGATATATGTATATATATATTAGTAATATTCTTGATGTGATATAAACAATTTTGAGCGGTCCAAATGTAAAAAGCAACAGTTACATATTAGATATATAATTAAATAACAATAGGATGGTCTTCATGTAAATGCTCCAGATTTGTTTTGAAATTAGTATAATTTATGGATAAATATTAAAAAATTCAGCTGGCTTATCTTCGGTTAATCTATTTAAGAACTCATTCTTGCTAACTTTCATTATGATATTTAGATTGAAGTTGAATGATTTAATTTAGGATTTTTACATACGTAGCACGTGAAACATTGTTATTTACTTGGATGGCAACAGGGAACACTGACGATTACATTCGGGTTTCACTCTAAGTTGTT